TATGTATCGTAGTGTAATATAGAAATGTCCTTCCTGTTAAGGGGAATGATCCATATGATGTAATTATGTTCTGGCTGGCAAATTATGCAGTCGGATAAAGTGGAGTGAAGACTTTATTTAGACAGCAGATAACCTTTTTACAATAAAAACTGATTTACTTGTGGCCCTCTATTAACACACAAAAAATAAAATATAAAAATCAGATCATTCAACAATGGTAAGAGAGAGAAAAAAAGTTACAGAAATGATAACTGTAATAATCACAATTAAAAACAAATAAGACTGTAAAAAGATCTATTTCAGTCGTATTTTTATCTTTTCTTTATTTTTGCTATTTAAACTAACTAAAAAAAGTGTCTCAGCTCCGGTTCACTGCACTTTTAAAGCCAATACTGTTACGTCATATTTCAAGGAAGCAAACCTTGCTTCACTTTCTCTGAGATGAGAGTTCTTTGAGTGAGTCAGATCGCGGATCTCTTGATCTTGATTGTCGCTGCGATTTCGTAAAGATTTTAGATACTTGAGTCGGTTATTAGTCTTGTCACAAACTTGACAGGTATCGAGCCTAGATTTTCTGAAGCTAAGAACTTCTTTCAACTCGGTGTTAAAGATATTTCTAAAAGTTGAAAAACTTATAACAGGTCCTTTGTTTTTTCTTTTTAACCTGGTCGTCTTGACATCAGGATGTTCACGAATATATTCCGACCACATTTTTCGTAGTGACTCATTGGACTCAAAATACTTTTTGCTGCCACTTCGCGATCTTCTATAATGAGACTCGGACGCGTCATGTGAAAGTATAAAGTCGATGACGGTCTGTTTTGTTTCAGGCAAAAGTCTTCGAGGAGTGGTTTGCCCTCTTCGGTCGGGCTCTATAAATGGCCCTTCAGGGCTCATTTTTTTTAGCAGACATTCTATTTTATGCTTTGAGATACCATAAACCTTGAGGAACGCGGTCTTGCATACTTCACCTAGCGATGGGGACTTGTATGTTATTTTTCGTTTTCCTGTTTGCGTGATCTTCACTTCCACAAGTTTTGACAGAAGATAATTTTGTTCATTGTATTGTTTCTTATAAAGCAGGTCCCTTTGCTGTCGTATGATGCGTTTTATATTACACAGACCGTGTCTCAGGAGGCATCCATTGTCACAACAGGTCAAGTTCAAATTGTGCAAACCAAAGGCAGCATTTTTGCGCCGGTTCACTCGGTTCGTCTTTGGTACGTAAACCTTTTTTAACTTGCTTCTGGAACTCAAAGTTCTCCTTCCTTTCTCTACCGAGCTTGCAAGAGGTTTACCTTGTCTAAAATATTGCCACGGATTCGAACTGTCAAAAATGTACAATAGGCGATTAACATCAACCCCACTTAAGTTCATCTCTGTTTCTTGCTGAGCAAAAGAACCCATTGTTGAAGGAAAGGAAAATGGTTTAATCTCACCCGCGTGATCCTTATTCATTTTATATTCTTCGTGGAAGGCAGAGCTTACTAGAATTTTCTAGTATCGTGATAAAAAAGTAACTATAAAAACGTTTTCTGACGTCAATTATAACCAATCTACCACGTGTTGACAGTTTCGCTACTTATCAGCATAGTTTTTTTAAAAATAGCCTCTGTAGTCGTGTGGGATGAGAGAGAAAAATGCATTTTTGTGTAATTTTTCCTCTTAACAGACACATTTATTACTCCATCAAAAATAAGAAATGCACTCACTTTTTGCATAATAATGATACTACTTTATCAACTTCGCCCTTGAAACAGTCGGCCTTAAGGAAATTCAACCGCGTGATTCACGAAAAGTCTAGAATTCAGGTGTAATTTCCGTGTTGTGAAACACGTTCTACAAAATAGCTACATTTTATGAGAAAAATCTAGAGTTTTCGCGACTTTTCATTTTTTTTAATATTGCGACAAAACAAGCAAGTGAACACACTTATAAATAATGTGCCCATCCGACTACTGACCTTTGTTAAGATCCTCGGCCCATTGAATTATTTCTGTTTCGACCAGATTGTGACCCAGGGGTGCCATTTAACGATGATGCCAAGAGTGTTGGTTCTCCAAATGGACTATCATAAGTGTCTTCCGACGCCAAAAGTTTCCTCCCAAGATTCCTTTTACTTGAGAAAGTTAAGGACTAATCTTTTCGGGGTCTATTCAGCCAATGAAGATATTATGAACTGTTTTTTTTACGATGAATCCATTGGCGGAAGTGGTCCTAATGAAGTGATATCGTTACTTAAGTACGTATTGGAGACACTAATAGAAAGGTACGGGACATTTCATCATTTAATACTATGGGCAGATAACTCGCCACCACAGTTTAAATACTGCTTTTTATTTTTTTACTTGGACACCCTTGTCCAAAATGGAAGGTTTCTTCGAGTAGATCTGAAATTTCTGTTGGAAGGGCATTCCTTTTCAATATGCGATAGAAGATTCGGGTGCATTCAGCAATTCTTTAACACTCAGGAAAAAATCGAAACTCCTCAAGAATGGGCAATTTCTCTACGAAATAGCCATTTACGTAACGTCAGAAGCCACTGGGTAAGCCTTCATCAGATAATGAACGATAAATCTTACTTAAAGAACAAATACATTGCTAGAAGCGAGGACATTAACGGAGAAAAATTCGGAGTGGGAAAAATTGCGTTTATGAATTTTGGCTGTGGTGAGATACCAGATCAAGAAGGAAACTTAACGCTTACCAGGCACAATGAAACCGCCTTTATCAGGTTTACAATGGATACAGTAGAAAAGCCAACGATTGTCTCTTTTGTAAAGAAGAAACAATGTGAGGAATTAAATCCAGCGGATCTAGTTCCTGTGAGACAAGATTGCAGACCTGTTCGCGAAAATGTGAGACCAAACTGTATAACACTCGCCCAGAAATATTTATCTGAAAGGGCTTTACGGTTCTTCACTGCATTGGCAGTTGCTGATCAGGACAGTCATAATGCTGACTAGTAATGAATACCCACTACTTGTGTGCATAGTGATAATACCAGTTACAATATCGTATAAATAACTGTTATACCCTAATTACGATACCGATGGTTTTATCGGATTGAGAGACAATAATTAGGTTCATGAACATTTTATTCACTGTATCCGTTTAGTAGTGTACACAACTCGATGTACCACAGTCGGACTGAGTAAACACTTTTAACTGCACCCTGAGACCTTTTTAAAAGGCAAACGTTGAACTTAAGGCGACTGATAATCGCACGAGCGCCCAGCTGCGGTAAAGGCTTAAGCGTGTCGTCCTCACGATCAGTTTGCTTTGGCTGTGTACACTCAATTTGATTTAACTAGAAACGAATGAGAAACTATTGCGTTTATAAAGTTCTCTGTTAGCAACGACTTATAAGGTGCATTGGCCAATGTGCAACCGTAATTTATGCACAGCTGATGAAAGAAAGGATGATATGTTTCCAAGCTAAATTATAGGTGTCCACTTTATCAAACATATTCCCTTAGCCAAATAGCAATCAGTAAGAAACTAAGGGAAACCTTATTTATAGTTATGGGTAAATAACAGAAACATGAAGCAAAAACATCAGGACATAGGAAGCTATAGCAACGACGTCCGGCCACGGCAACGAGAAAGTCAAAAAAGCTATAGGTTTATTAAGAAAAGCAAGAACTCTGCCCCTGCATCTACTTCTTTGCTGTCACTGCCCGCACAACTACGATACGTTTTATGGAGAGAATTAGAATTAACACCGCAAGATTTAAAAAAAAAAAACGCCTATTCGTTTTAAAATTGACGTTTTCGCTGCTGTTGCCGCCGTCGATGCCAAAGGAAGATTTTTTAGACGTGAGTATACTTTAGCTTCAAAGTAAAGTAACACCTATCAGGCTAAATTGAATGTCCTGACTGGCCATAAACCTTTTACCGTAATCTCTGTCAGCAGGGAGTTTTAGCAAGGTCCACGGCGACGGCAAAACGAGAACGTCAAAACAGCAATAAGTTGATTAAACAAAACATCACGTTTACACGTGCAGATCACTTTTTTGCACATTTCTTTGCCATTGCTGCACGACTACGAGCCTAATTTCACGTTTTATGGAGGACGTAAACAAGCGATAGGGAAATTTTCTTTGTCTTTCTAAACTTGAGTGCAGTCCTTAAGAAATCAACTCCAGGGAAATTTGCCTACACTAGACATTTTCAGTAAATTGGAATTAACGCGCGATAAAATTTGAAAAACGCAAATTCATTTTAAAAGTGACGTTTTCGCTGCTGTAGCCGTCGTCGATGCTAAAACTCATTTCGAGCGCGCAAAGCTAGCTCGTAAAATCACTCGCGCAAAATAAAACAAAACTTTACTTTTGGTCCGTAATCAAATTGCATGCATGACTGAAACGCAGCGCAAATCAGATATTTCTGAGAACATTTTACTAAATTACAAATGTCAACATAAAAATCAATTTTTGGCATCGATAGACAAAAAAAGGTAAAGGCAATTGCCTGTTTGGTAATGCCGGTTAGCCTAAATTGACAAAAAAGGGAGATGAAAAAAGCACCGCATGTATTGTAATAACGTCACGATAAATTGTAAATTTAGTAATGATGGCAATAGATGGACTAAGTGGAATCCAATTCGGTCTGTAATGATGCGAGTGATCAACAAAAAAATCGGAGGACTGTGCAGCGGGAGTGATTACTTAAATCTCGATTATGATTACAGACCGTATTGGGTTGCATCAACGTTTGTTACAACTTAATCATAACTATAACAAAATGTGTGATATTTTAGGATTTTTCAAAATTAAAACGCAAGAACTTCCGAGAGTTTTTCGCTAGCAGTGAGAAAAAAAAAAGCATTTGAGTGTGCGATTGCAATGGTGCGTGCTGTCCAACTAGTAGGCATAACGCGTACTGGCCTATAAGTAGTAAAATCAGCACAGTTGATAGCCAATCAGATTTGAGAATTTTACTACAGTTATGATTAAGAAAAAAGGGAAAGAATAAAGAAGAAAAAGAAACGGTAAAAGCTAGTGTGGAAGAGTTTGACTGTTGGTATGATATTCCCAATCTGCGTCGCAGTAATTCCAGAGGAATTCCACAGATTGTGGAATATCATGCAAAGCAACGAAAAACACTCTTGCTCGCGACGATGTATCATCAACATAGGGCTTTAAATTTGCGTTTTGCCTTGAATGGTTGATAGTTGCCGCCAAGTTTAGCTCGGCATGAATATCACCATAGTAAGGATCAATTCTGAAAGTAAATAATAAATAACGTTTTAGTGTGTACAACTTAACACAAACATTAAGAATATCCCACATAATATATTCATAACATACTGGGTAACTGTTGGTTCTCGCGAGTAAGTTGAAACAGAAAGATAGTTCAAAGAAATCAAAAGGCGACAAGTCAAGTCAAAACAACGGTCACACGTGTTTATATAACGTCGTCTTGGAGGTAGTAAAAGTATTTGCAAAAATGCGCTTAAGCCTTTAACTTACGCGAAGCTTTGGCCGCGGTGATCTATGACCATGAGGGTACATGTCTTTCCTACTCTCGCGTACTCCGCCTCGCATTTCGTTGCCTCAGTCATCGATATAAGCTCCCCCGTGTACTCTGCCACCACCTGTCCTCTTTCTACGTCTTTTTTGGCGAAGGAGCATTTTCCCGCGCCTCGCGGGTCACTTGGAACGTCGTGCACCTGTGCAACAAAAGTGCGAATACTGATCAGCTATTAACATTTCATTAAACCAGAAGAAACGATATTCAACAGGAAAGGAACGAAAGAGCCTCAAGTAAACACTCACCTCGATTGGAGGAACTGGTGGAGGATGCCTGGCCATGAATACGGCGATGTTTCTTAACATCTGTTCAACTCCAAATTCATGGCCAAGCATACGACGGGCGCGGTGGAGTTTAATATTGAAGTATCCTCTGCTGTTGTTTTGTACGCCGTAGGTGACATTTCCATTGTTTGAGAATGAAAAGGTGGAAATTTCTTTTTTTAGTTGCTGTTGACATAAAAATAAACGATTTTAGATCATTTCACCTTCAATGCCTTGAGATGTTTTCTTTTTCAACTTTTGAACGTACTCGATTAAAAGCACTTCTCTTCATTAAGAACTTTGTTTGGCCGTTAACACTATCGTCGTCGGTCCAAATTGAAACTGCCGTTTCATAGGCGGAAAAAAGCTCCGATGTGGAAACAAAGTTTCCTTCCTCTGTAGTGACACATTGATTTAAAAATTTTGACAAAAGAGGACATTTTGCCGCTCTTTTGTGCCGCAGCATCACCCGTCTAACATTCGCGTAGGACATGTTGAATAACGTTGTGGCAACTGGGGAAGGATGTAAGAGCTATTTTCCCACAGGGTAAAATTAGAGAAAGTATAGAAGTGTGGCAGAGTGTGGGAATGCTTATAAAAGCTGCACTTCTATTTGTGGAATGCGTCAATCTCGCTACTTCACTGAATGTCGATCTGGTGTTTGCAGGAAAGTTTTCAAAATATTTGTAGTTGTTTTTCAGACTTTTATTATTTCATTAAAAAGAAAAATATATGAGACATACAGACGTTTCAATAGACCCCTTTAGCTCAATGTATTGATGATATGTTTTTGCTTTTCAAACGCCAAGTGACTTGAAGTATGTTATGATAATTTATGCGTAGATTTGCTCATGATTATGCATAGATTTTCATACTATATCACATGACCTTCATTGCAACTGGAATATGAGCCCGCATTTCCAGGCAGGGTGGCCACATTTGCCGCGGGTCTGAAAAACACATATACAACTATTTTGAAAATTTGCCTGCAAACACCATCCGTGTATCAAAACATTTCGGATCTCTTCTCAGCCTTTGATTCTTTTATAACGGGATGAGAACCCGAGACCACAGGAGCCAGAAACAAATGAACTTGAAACGTTATCCAGGCTAATCGATTGAAAGGAATCAATGTGACCTAAGTCCGCGTTTTATAAAAGAAGGCTATTAATTCTTTTCTGGATTTCTGGATTCAGGTAGGGAACATAAACTTTGAAGATATTGACACTGGGGCAAAATTTCCGTACTGTTCTGACAACACCTTACATTTATTGTGAATGCAGCAATTTCCTACTTTACGAAGTTCAGTATTGCATGAAGAGTCAAAACATCATGAAACATGTATGCATAATCATAAATAAGGTTTTTAATATTCTTGGATTGTAACCACGTGACAAGGCGACCAGGCTTCAAAACAATTCAATACATAAAAATGAATTACAGTTGAGTTCCCAGAGGAGAGAAATGCATTTGTTTTTATCACCCAACATGGCCGCCGTGATGTCAGGTGCATTAAAACCAATAATGGGACTGTTTGGTGATCTTGCTTTACTCAAAGAACATAACACTTGTTTACTGACCTTGTTTATAGAAAACAAACTGTTTCGCCTCTAACACCATACAGAGAACATACAATTTCATTCTCTTTTGCCAGGAGGTCATGATTATTTATGACTTACAGTTATAGATTTTCTTATTACTGTTTAATTACTCTTAAAAAGGAAACTCCTGGCATAGATAAACACATAAGCTCAAGCCCTTTCAAAGAGCTTCATACCTTAAGACTTCAGGTTTTATAGAAACAAACTTTTATTGCTGTACGATAACAAAAGGAAGGTGACTTTCAAGGGAATATAGAACCCTATGGTAGAGAAAGAAAAATTTTGAAAAGGGTTTAAAACCAATCCAAAAAATTTGTAAACAACTTATCTTTCTTACCAAATACTTGAAATTGATTGGTCCAATAACATTTAAATCCACAAACGCTTACTGTCATATTTTATATTTTATTGTTTATGTAACTGACATGTACCTTCAAGTCAGCGTTACAATGCAGAAGGTGTCAATATACCAGTTGTTCAAAAAAGAAGATTCATTGGCCAAGGTAATGTAACTTTATTGCGCACTAGATAAGTGTATAGTGATGATTTTTGTTCCTATGGCCCAAAACCCAACAATGAGTCCATTAAACTACAGCAACCTTTACAGAACTCTATTAAACCATGAAATTCGGAGACATCTCACCATTATCAAATACAGATGAAACATATCATACTGTAAAATAGTGATCAATAACATTTTTGTATTTGATAATAAAGACGTTATCTTTTAAAAAATCTTTCATTATCAAACTTTGCCAAAACAGAGCTATCATCTGGTATCCATTGTGTGGTTCCAAAAATTTTCCATACTTCCCCCACGAAAAAGGATTATTTCTTAGACCTCCCCCCCAACCTCTCTGGAAATTACAGTCAAGCTTCATACATTTACTTAAATTTGGGGACCTTAATGAGAACCCCCAACCTGCCAGCAATTTCCAAACCCTTCTACAAAGGGAGTATGAATATATTCTAGAACTACACATTTGGGGTAGCCTGGTTAAATTCCAGGGGGGTGGGGTTGTTGTAAAGACTATGCTTTGTGCTAGAGTGCAGATTTGCTGAGTCTTTGTACCTGGGCTCACCCCTGTCTTTCAAAGCTCAATGTCTCCCTCAAATTAAGGGAGGGTTGTGTCTAGCTGGCTGTCATGCTGTTGCACAGACACAGGGCTATCATCTGGTATGCATTTGGGGTAGCCTGGTTAAATTCCAGGGAGGTGGGGTTGTTGTAAAGACTATGCTTTGTGCTAGAGTGCAGATTTGCTTAGTCTTTGTACCTGGGCTCACCCCTGTCTTTCAAAGCTCAATGTCTCCCTCAAATTAAGGGAGGGTTGTGTCTAGCTGGCTGTCATGCTGTTGCACAGACACAGGGCTATCATCTGGTATGCATTTGGGGTAGCCTGGTTAAATTCCAGGGAGGTGGGGTTGTTGTAAAGACTATGCTTTGTGCTAGAGTGCAGATTTGCTGAGTCTTTGTACCTGGGCTTACCCCTGTCTTTCAAAGCTCAATGTCTCCCTCAAATTAAGGGGGGGTTGTGTCTGGCTGGCTGTCATGTTGTTGCACAGACACAGGGCTATCATCTGGTATGCATTTGGGGTAGCCTGGTTAAATTCCAGGGGGGTGGGGTTGTTGTAAAGACTATGCTTTGTGCTAGAGTGCAGATTTGCTGAGTCTTTGTACCTGGGCTTACCCCTGTCTTTCAAAGCTCAATGTCTCCCTCAAATTAAGGGGGGGTTGTGTCTGGCTGGCTGTCATGTTGTTGCACAGACACAGGGCTATCATCTGGTATGCATTTGGGGTAGCCTGGTTAAATTCCAGGGGGGTGGGGTTGTTGTAAAGACTATGCTTTGTGCTAGAGTGCAGATTTGCTGAGTCTTTGTACCTAGGCTTATCCCTGTCTTTCAAAGCTCAATGTCTCCCTCAAATTAAGGGGGGGGGGGGTTGTGTCTGGCTGGCTGTCATGTTGTTGCACAGACACAGGGCTATCATCTGGTATGCATTTGGGGTAGCCTGGTTAAATTCCAGGGGGGTGGGGTTGTTGTAAAGACTATATGCTTTGTGCTAGAGTGCAGATTTGCTGAGTCTTTGTACCTGGGCTTATCCCTGTCTTTCAAAGCTCAATATCTCCCTCAAATAAAGGGGAAGGGTTGTGTCTGGCTGGCTGTCATGTTGTTGCACAGACACAGGGCTATCATCTGGTATGCATTTGGGGTAGCCTGGTTAAATTCCAGGGGGGTGGGGTTGTTGTAAAGACTAAATGCTTTGTGCTAGAGTGCAGATTTGCTTAGTCTTTGTACCTGGGCTTATCCCTGTCTTTCAAAGCTCAATGTCTCTCTCAAATTAAGGGAGGATTGTGTCTGGCTGGCTGTCATGTTGTTGCACAGACACAGGGCTACCGTCTGGTATGCATTTGGGGTAGCCTGGTTAAATTTCAGGGGGGTGGGGTTGTTGTAAAGACTATGCTTTGTGCTAGAGCGCAGATTTGCTGAGTCTTTGTACCTAGGCTTATCCCTGTCTTTCAAAGCTCAATGTCTCCCTCAAAGTAAGGGGGGGGGTTGTGTCTGGCTGGCTGTCATGTTATTGCACAGACACAGGGCTATCATCTGGTATGCATTTGGGGTAGTCTGGTTAAATTCCAGGGGGGGTGGGGTTGTTGTAAAGACTATATGCTTTGTGCTAGAGTGCGGATTCACTGAGTTTTTGTACCGGGGCTACCCCTGTCTTTCAAAGCTCAATGTCTCCCTCAAATTAAGGGGGGGTTGTGTCTGGCTGGGTGCCATGTTGTTGCACAGACATGGGGCTATCGTTTGGTTTACATTTGGGGTAGCCTGGTTAAATTACAGGGGAGTGGGGTTGTTGTAAAGTTTGATGTGTTTTTGCACTTTTATCCAGTTTGTTTGTGCTGTTTTCATGCAAGCAATGACCCACTCTGTTCATAATGTTCCTAGTCAGCAAGGAGTTGAACTGCTGGTTTTAGGACTTGGTTTTGTTGAGCAGTGTTGGCTTAGATTGTTTTTGGGAGACCAGCTTAATTCAATTAAAAATGGGGTGAACTGGGGAATTAGCTTTGCAATCGGTGACACCGACGCTAAAAATTGCTTCTTAAAATGCCTTATTTTCCAGATTAATGAGGAAAACGTCACTTTTGTTACCTTCAAGACAGACGATTCTATCAAATGGAAGCTCATGTATTCAATAATTTCTTTTTGAGGTGAGATTTTACTTTTCAAGTAACAAGGGCCATCAAATTAACGATCAGTGCGAGAGACTGACATTTTTTAGTAGCCCGGTTTTCAAAAACCAGGTATATATATATATACATATAATATATATATATCAATATATATAGAGAATATTACACGGTGGCGAGAAGATATGAATTTTATGTTCGAGTGGCAAGAACAATATCTCACGAGTAAGCGCAGCGAACGAGTGAGATATTGCTCTTGCCACGAGAAGATGAAGATGAAGATGTTTCGATGATACACCAACGAATTTAAGTACAATTTAAGAGAAAAACTTGATGTCAGTAAAATTATCGATATCTTGACATGCAAAAATATCGTATTTTTACGTGTGTTCAGATACCACATTTCTCGGTGGTAGAAATTCTTGTAAAACACTGCAGTTTATATAATAAATATATACGCGGTGAATTAACGAAGAATGCGCAATTTACCTGCATTTTCTGAGATTCACCAAGCGGAAAATCCTTCGTTTTCCAAACGTTTTCACTCCGGTTAATTCGAGTATTCGTTCCATTATCCATCAGTTTTCCGATTCAGTGAACGCCGGTAAACATGCGTTTGCTGACGTTCACCGATCGGTTAACACTCAGTGAACGTCTTGTATTCCGGCATTTACCCTGAGTTTTCAGACGGGAAAACCTCGAGTTCACCGCAGTTAACGAGTGAAATCCTGCCTTTTGCGGACGTTTTCCGGCGTTTTCCGAAACTGTGAATACCGCTGAATCCAGGAAAATCGCATGTATTCCAGCGTTTACCGATCGCTTACCGTTAGGAAAACTGCGCGTTATTCCGACTTTTGCAAGCAGTTTTCTTGCGTTTTCTTTCATTTTCCGTGACAGTGAAATCAAGTAAATTCAAGAAAACTGGCGTTTTCCAGCATTCACTGATAAGTTCAGGCATGGAAAACAGATTGTATTCCGGCGTTAGCGGTCGTTTTCTACTAGTTTTCTGGCGTTCTCAAGTACAGAAAATTCGTGTGAAGTTAGGAAAACACAAAATTTTCCCGCGTTTCCCGTTATATCTCCTTTGGAAATTGCTTTTGTTTCAACAATTTGCTTTTTCCTCCCCTGTTTTCAATGGTGTTATCTTGTATGTCGTAGCTTTTCCGTAATTCCCACCCCGCAATTGAGGTCCTCTGGTTATTATTGTTTGTAAATGCGTGTAAAAGCCAAGGTTTAGTTACCGTGTAGGGAGTAAAATGTTTCCTTCCCACTTACTTATATATAAAGAGTGCACAGATGAAAAGAACCATTATATGAGCTGTAAATTCTGAACATTTATTTACATGCATACATATCATACCCTTAGTGTTATAAATGAAATTGTCAGAAGATGTGGTCTTCAAAATTATACCCTTGCTTACACTAAAGAAAAACATTGCTAACATTCTACATTGAGAACTCTCAGGCTGAACTCTATGCGAAGTGCAAAAACAAAAAAAACACTCTAAAGTCCATCAAAATCTAGTTCTTGCATTAATACCTTATAATTAAGTGACAATAAAGTGTATTAAAGAACCTTTTAAAGCTATGTGTAACTAACTATACAGAAACAAGATGTTTGTGATTTGAACTCATGGTTCTGATGCACATCAATTTTGACATCAAACTGAATACTGGGTAACAAATATTATGCGGCTAATTCCTAAAATGCAAAAAATTATTATTTACATGCATTTAAGGTGATTCCCTGGTTTTGCTTTGCGCATATCTTACTGCGCAAAACAAGATGGCCTCCGTAAAAAAGAGCATGTGAAGTAACATTATTAAAATGAAGTTGACCGAAGAGAAACGCTATTGCAATTTTTGCGTGCGGTTGTTTCTTGGCGAGGTGAGACTCAGTGTGGTGGGAATGTGCATAACGTAAGCAGTGCGCGTGTTGCTGAGTTGGGCTTCCTCACGGAGAACCTCGATAGTGGATGTTTAATTTGTGCTTATTCACTTTGATTTTCATTTGAACGCTTTCTTTATCACATTGTGTCTTAAATGTGACATCTCGATGTAAATTCTGTAAAAACGGATTTTTTAATACTTTCTTCCCCCTTTCACATACCTTCTATTTTGAAACTCGCCCCAGTCCTCTCTCAAAAATCAAGGAAAATGCATTTGGTGCGCACTTTCTGCAGCTCTACCGCAAAAACGAGTACGGTGACCCCCATTTTTTATTTCATAATTTTAATAAGGACAGTGCTTCCTTTCGGTGGGAAAAAAATTGGCACAAATCTATGTTCAGTTTTTTGGCAATTTTACTAAATTGTACGGATTGAGCTATCACGTGTCGAATAGCGCGTGTCCAATTTAATTCTACTTTGGAGCGTAAAGTAAAAACAAGGGCATTGAAAGGCATATTTATGGTACGTAAGTGGATAAACAATACATTAAAGTCAAATTCTGTGCGATACCACATGCATCATTGAAAAAATCTTTCCTTTTTGTCTAGTTTTGGGCTGCGCGCGGTTTTTGTTAAAGGGTCCAAAATAGCCGTATTTGTCAGCATTGTGACGTCAAAACGAGCACGGTGACCCCCACTTTTTATTACTTTTTTATCATCTTCTTGACTTGTTACATCAGTGCACCAAGTTTCATCTACAATCTATGTTAGGTTATTTTACTAGGGAATCACCTTAAAGAATAGAAGCTGTTCACAATTCATTTTTTGGAAACAAATTTACTTAAGGAAATCAAAGATTGCAGATTGAGTAATAAAACAATAATAAACCATATTTCTTTTTGAAATAAATTATGCCTACATCAATAAGACTGAGCTGTTACATTTTACTCTTCAGTCTACTTTATATAGTTACTTCAACTTACCTTTAAAGGCTGCACCAACTTTTTGAGAAACGCTCCCTATTTAGGGTGAAACATTCACTTCAGTGGCAAAGAGAAGTTGCTTAAACAATCTTCTGGTGTTTCTTTACAACACCTCGACTCTTGATATGAATTAAGTATACCTTGTCAATTCAAAGGGCTTTAACAGTTAAAATGACTTATGGGGAATTGCACACAGCCCATTTCAAATGTCCTGGAACAGTGTCTGTCCCTCTTTCACTGGCAACACCTTGTCTTCGACTAACTGATTGTCTCCTTTGTTGGGAGGTCATTGCTGCCTTCGCTCTTCCATCCAAAAGTTTAGAAAAGTTGTTCACATTCTCTGTTCTCCAAGACAGAGGCCTGGTTCTCAAGGAATTATCTTCCGTGTCAGACTCATCTGAAGACACAAGGCTTGCATGAAGGGCTGAAAACAGGTCACCATCCCTTTCCTCCTCAGTGACGGCTTTCAGTCTTTTATCAAGCTTCTACATACAAAAGAGAGAGAGAGAGAAAAAAAAAACTCAGTAATTCAGCTAATTTTTTGCATAAAACATCACATGGCAACTCAAAAGCTACTTTTATACTGATTATCTGAACCCCAACACAGTTGCAAAAAATTAACACTGAGCGAGAGATAATGATGTTAGTTGTTGCTCTTAAACTTATGTAGTTGCGGTCGGTTAGGACTCTGGAACAGCTAGCTTAAGACCACTAGGGTAACAATCAGTTAATCTTCTGGAAAATGAATTACATAGAAAGAAACACACATCACACACTTGCAAATAGAAGCCGTATAATATTACAAACTTTACTCCCCTCTACTCCAGTCCTAACAGCGAAGGATGTACAGTATACCTTCTTGGCCAATTAAAACAATTACCATTTGAATACTCAAAATTTTGATTCAAAAGTTTTTAATAACATGACAGAGAACCTCACCCTCTTAATTCTTTGCCTTCTTTTCTGCTCCTGTTAGTACTGCTCATACGTCCCCTTCTCCTCCTGTCTTTTTCGCTTCTTGCTTGAGGCCAAGTTTTGTGAAATGGCATCTAACAAAAAAAAGGACAATTAATCTGTATAATAATTTATTATGAGCATTACCATAAGTTCAATTTTTGGAACCTTTTGTACAGGAGTTTTCTCAAGTCTAAGATAATTGCTTTTCCTGATCGAATTATTACCTACCATGTCACCCATGGATGTAATAATGATCGCCTTTTTCCCAAGAAATATACCGTGAAAGACCATGTTTCTAATACTAAACTAGAAAAAGGCGATCATTATTACATCCAAACAGGGCACAAGGATCTTTTTTCCCATTACAATCTTATTCTAAGAGAACTTTAAGAAAAAATGTCCCGAAAAGCGCTCCATAATACAAACTAAATGTGCTCATGCCCCCTGGGCATCCTATAATACTCCTTAAATAGAATTAATTCAATTAATATGGCCACGTTATCGGTAAAAAGGTCTATTAAAAGCAGTTTACATATACTCTGTGGATAAACTATCTTCAGATCACACGTACATCTATTTCATACATCATTTTTTTAAAAGGTTAATTTGCACCGTAGTTCAAAACTGCCTATCTTAAAGGCACAAAAAATTTTAACTAAAGGTAATTTGGACAAACCCTGGAGCTGCGATACAGTGTTTTTGAAAAAGCAAAGCCAGATTAATGAAGGGTGAAATGAAATGCAATGCTGTATCGGTATAAAATAGATTCTCAATAACTGCAAATCTATTTTGTCAATGTACTTTTATAAAAAAGCTTGTGTGTTTATAAATCAAGCACTACACCTATTGGAATTCGAAAAAGTGACTGCATGTACCACTACAATGAAGAGGTTCCATAACAAAATACCACATTTATTTGATTAAGTGCCCTGCCTGGGTGCTCACTAAAGTTTTGCACCTTGAGAGTGGGCTATTATTCAAGTTGGTCACTTTAATAAGTGTATTTGGGCTGGGTGTTTAATGAATTCTCACAGTTTTCACCAAAAGTAATTTTGTTGGAGATTGAGTAATTTTGTTTGAGTTCCAAAGCAGATTTTTAACTGTTCATTGAAAGTTTCTTTAAAATACTGTACTAACAAAACTTGGTCTCTAGCTGGTATGGGGTAGGCACTTATTGGAGGTTAGGAGATAATTCTTTTTTTTTTTTTTCTGCCTATAAGGTGGACGGTTATTATAGGCGGGCAGTTACTTGAGGTTGAGCACTTTATCAAATAAATAATACGGTATTCTACTTTCTTTTCAGCATTTGTTGTTACATGTAATTACAAATTCTCAGCAACATTGACTTTTCTTCTATTTTCTGGTACAAACCCCTCAACCCCAGTGTCACTAACCTGCACAATATTGTATAGTGCTCCTAAGATGTTTGCCTAGTACTGAAAGGAAAATCAGGAATCGATGAATTTCACTTAATTACTTTTAACTGTCACTGCTGGTTTAATTACCCACTGAAATGTAAGTGCCACCATGGTCTTAGTACACTTTGGGTACTTTGTGTGGGATGAGGTTTTGTGATATCCAGAAATAATCAAGGGAGAGGTTTGACTAAATGACATCAGCTGAGCCAAAGACCGAGGCTGATAACACTTACTGAGACCTTGATTATTCCAAATATCACAAAAACCAATTCTGATAGTTGTTTCATTATGCATTGTTTTCAAGAAAACAAGGACAAACACAGAATTGCATGGAACACAGTTTGACATTCCTCTTAGAAATCATACTTGGCGTGCACCAGGGGGGTAGAGACAAAGTCGGGCTTATGGCGTACGATCCCTGCCAAATTTTAAATTCATCATTTAAATCTCTAACCTCGGTACTTGAATTTTATAGCTGAATTCAAAATTTTACACTCTTCCTTTAGAACAAAACGTTTTTATGCTCGCGTCTCTTAGCTTTTAAACTCAATTCTTCTATTTGACCTTACTTACTGTGTATTTTCAACTCGCTTCGTCAAATTACATAGTAGAACCATCAATTTTCAAATCGGCGCTGTGAATAAAACTATACACCAGACAAATTTTCCAACATTGCTACTTTTTATAAGCTTGAATGCCTGAACCAATAATCAGGGCATTTTGCCACTTACCGAGTCATATTTCAAACTCCACCGTGTGTACTTTCAACACGACTTGTGAATTTTCGTTCACGCTTCAGTGATCATTGATCAAGACCAGGGAGCATCCCTGGGTCAAAACAATACAAGCCTTTACAAGTTGGGTGGGTGGCTCTTTAGTCCATCGTGCTTAGCGCATATTACACGAACATGGCGGCAGAGTTTGCACTTGCTTAGATTCCTATCAGTATGGTGATTATAGCAGATGCATGCATCACTTGCGGTATTCAAATTGCACTACTGTAAATAGTGGGATTTACCTGATTCTATCGTGGCTGGCATGGGATCCGCCATAGCATGTTTATCGAGCGCACAGCAATAAAAGGAATTGGTTGGTAGGCCTAAACGACTTTTACCTCTTACCAAAATGTTTCTCGTTCCAATAAGTTTTTTTCCTCTGCTGGGTATATTATGCTCTGGAAGGTTCTACAATTTCACTGAACAAATGTGATTTTAGCCGCTTGTTTCACCCTGAGAGGTTGTGGAACACATATTGATTTACTGTGGTTTTTGTTTCTGGTTGGCAGGATTTACCCTCTGACGCAAAAGCATTTTCTTTGACCTCTTTTAAAGCACAAAGCTTTTCATTATGGCTGAATATGGGTTCTAATTTTCTCTTAAGTGCCTTCTGGATTTGAATATTTTAAGCGATTTTCTCTAGTCCTTTAATGTAATGTTTTTCTGCAATGTTGTGTCATTCTGGGCCTAACTCGTTTAGTAGTTTTCTTTGTAGGATATTAAATTATCACAGATAGTGATTTACAGATCCAAAATTATAAGAATGAGGTGCATCATTTATAGATAATTGCATTGTGACTTAGTAGACTTTAGCTTATCGTTTTTCTAAAGATAATATGAGTCTTTTGACTGGAGTGTGTATTTCCTTCCTTGGTAATACCTTTGAAGGAGCTTAACAGTGTTTGGACTGTATTTTATGGCCACTTTGTGATCAGGTAATCAGAGATTTTGATCAAATCAAACCATGAAAAATCAAACAATCCAAAATTTCATTACAGATCACAGATCACTTGAAATGAACACTACACATGTGAGAAGGTGCAGGCAAACACTTGCGCTTAAAGCACAATGGACTAAAGAGCCACCCATTGCGACAAAGGCTTCTTTGGGGGGGCTCCCTGGTCTTGATCAATGATCACTGTAGTGTAAAAAAAATTCAGAGGTTTTGTTGAAAATATACATGGTCGAGCTTGAAATGTGACTCGGTAAGTGAAAAAATGCACCAAGTATTGGCTCAGGCATTGAACCTTATAAAAAGTAGCAATGTAGGATAACATTTAATTTCACTTTGTTTAATGGAATCAGTAAACACCTTAATTGAAAGTCAAAATTCAAATGAGCCAAATAAACAAATTACCTCCATTGCTGAGAGCTCTTTACATTAAAGCAGCCTTAACTTTCCTTAGGTTTGCAGCAAAACACTTCTCAATATCTTAACTCTTCGACGATTGTTTCAGCTATATGTTGCTATGATACATGTATTATGTTGCATAGCCTGTGAACAGTACATGTATTATATTGCATAGCCTGTGAACAGTACAGGCTCTCTGTTTGGGGAAAGTTAAAAAAATCATGAGGGAAGGGGAAGGGAAAGAGCCAGTAGAGAAACCTATGAGGCTGCTATTTTAATTTGTGGCACCCACTGTGCATCAGATTCTCATGCAAGCTCCTATTGGCGAGAACACTGACAGGTCTTTTGATCTTTAACATGGTATCTTCTGGCACATCACTGATAAGCTTATTTAGCCGCAATAAAGAGCTTTACATTTCAAAAGAGCTAAAATAAAATGTTCTTGCATCAGAGGTCAAATCACACTGACCAGAAAAAATGACAACAATAACCTCAGACAATCAGTATGCATGTCATGACCTCTCAATTTTAATTGAGAGGGAAAACCACAATTTTGCTCAGTCAAAACTTACGTTCCAGCACATAATCTACCACCAGAGAAAGAACTCATTGGAACAAGCAGCATTTGGCACCAGGTAAAAGTCAAGTGTTGCCTACCGACCCCCTTTTTACATGCAAAACTGATTACATTTACAATCTTGCTGACAGAAGATCAGCAATTAATAGACAAGAGGGTGGAATAACGGCCTCAAACGTTTGTCTTAAGGCTCTCCCCCTTTCCCTTCTTCCTTCTCCTCCCAACTTTTTTGCCCTTTCCCCAAACAGAGACCCTGCTCATAGGCTATATGTTGCATATTCCAAACTCTACAAAGAGAAAAAAGAAAGAGCACAACATACAATACATCTGAAAAGTGACATAAATCAGTAAAGTTGCAATTTACCAAAATAAACGAAATGCAATATTGAGAAACAATCCCGCCTTCAACCACCATGACTTTGTTCCTTCTCAAAACCGTTTACATTGTACCTTTGGTTTATGAGGTAATGCGCAACATCAGTACACAAAACTGCTGGCAAGACCCTTGATGATTGCTTTGCAAGTTGTGAGAACATCATTTCCATTTCATTTAAGAGAGTGTATGGGAAGTAACTTCCCTCCCCCACCTCCCTGCGTGCACACAACCTACAGATTAGTCACTAATAGACCTTTCCGGCATTACGCTCTATTGCAGTAAGCAAACGTAACGAAATGAGGATGAGGCTTGGGTAAGCAATTTCATACAAAGGTCTACCTGCCAGCAGATAACTAACTAATCTGTAGGTTGAGCTTGAAATGTATGATTTCTAAGAACAAACTGAGTACGCTGTGTTTGTCCTAATTTTCTTGAAAACACTGTACAGGGCTGCAAACATTTTTTTTTTCTCTTGAAAGGACATATGTCCCATCAAGACACCATCTTGGTTGGACAAGCAAAGTTTTAGATGTACATAATGCCAATTACAAGTCCTTATTCTCAGTAGAACCTTGTGTAAGTGAAGAAATATTACTTGAAAATAACAACATCACTGTCTCATGTAAACAAATTTGTCCCCAAGCATTACATTTTTATCAAAAGTTACAGGCAAAAAGAATGAACTTTAGGCCAACAAGTTTTCAAAAACCTCCATTCTTGACTTGCAATTACG